GATTCACTTACTGCCTGTCTTCATGAAGCTGTATGGTAATGTGCTTCAGTCAGAGCTGCTGCGTCAGTCAACAATATGCCCTGAGCAGGCAGGTTTTCGCACAAACCACTCCACGATCGGTCAGTGCTTTGTCTTGGCATCGCTCATCGAGCGGGCCAGGCGAGCTAACTCCCCTCTGTATGTTTGTTTTGTTGAGTTTCGCAAGGCGTTCGACTCGATCAATCGTAGCCTGCTGTGGTGTAAGTTACGTGCTAGTGGCATTAGCGAGCGACTCGTTCGAGCTCTCGAGGCCCTGTATGCAAATGTAGAGGCTTGTGTGGATGGCGGGTATGAGGGTTTCTCTACCGTCTTCAATGAGCTGCATGGTGTGAAGCAAGGCGATGTTCTGGGCCCCTTGCTGTTTTCCCTCTTTGTTAATGATTTGCCTGGCTTCATTCGCGATGGACATGCATCTCCACCTGACCTTCTCCGTTTACTCGATGTGCTCGTCTTCTGCCTGCTGTATGCTGATGACCTCGCTCTCATGCACACTACTGGTGCTGGGCTTCAACTTAGCTTGGATCGTTTGTTTCAGTGGTGTCGTGTCAACCACATGAATGTGCACCTAGACAAAACCAAAGTTGTTGTGTTTCATCCTGATCGGGTGCCATCGAGTGAGGCAGACAGACAGTTCTACTTTGGGACGCCAGATAAGCTACTAGAACGAGTGCCGTTGGTCCGCTATCTGAGTGTATGGTTTCATGAGAGGGGCGGGTGGAAGCATCACATAGACATGATGGCCAGGAAAGGGGTGGCTGCGCTAGCGGTATATCGACGTCGCCTTAGACAGCTTCCTGCCCTTGACCTACAAAGACGCTTCCACCTGTATGATGCCACAGTGGCGCCTGTCCACCTGTACGGTAGTGAGCTGTAGGCGGGCACTAACCGTGATGCTCTAGAGCGTCTCCATCGGCACTACTTGCTGTCATGTATGGGGGTCACTCGTCGTGTCTCTACTGAGACCTTGCTGTGTGAGCTTGGTCTTTTTTCGGTGCTCTTCGAGGCGCGTTGTCGCCAGCTGTCCTTCTATATCCGCCTGCGCAATCGCAGAGCTGGCATCCTTGCAGAGAAGGCTTTTGCTGTTGCACAGCATGCGTATCGGTCTGCTCCATCATTCCGGCGCATGCAGGGCAACGACGCTTACTTCTACATGCAAAAACACAACACATTCACTCTGTTTGCGCGCACATTCGATTTCATAGGCCAGCGTGTTCGGATTAGTCAGATTGGCCCGCTGAGTGCTATCGATACCAAACAGATGATCACGGCGCATACAAAGGCAGAGTTTGCTCGTATTTTGACCGAGCGATGGAATCGTGCTCGGTTGCCTGATATGCGTAACACTCCCTCACTTCCTCCGCCCCTCTCTCTCTCCGCCGAGGCGATATCCTTACTGCCTTGGCGCACATAT